AGGTACAGATTCCCCAGGAGCACAATGAACTGTTCTGGAATACTCATACTTTGCAATGTTGTCCATAGCTGACTGATTTTAGTTGGGTCAAAATGAGCAACGAGTTTTCATTCCTCTTGTTTATTATGCCGTACACGTAATGTGGTTCTTTTCTCTCTTTTGGAGGGCTAGAGGAGCCATAAAGGTGGAGCCCATTAAGGTTGCCAAGGCATTCTCATGTCTATGATCAATAAATCATCTAAATAAGAATCTTCATAAAAATGAAGCATTTTTATCAGCCACTCTTTGGAAACCCTAAACAGGGTCACTATGTGTTGGAAGAAAATTGTCTGTAGCATAGAGAAGAACTGTCCCATTTCCAAGGCTATACTCTTTATGAAAGCAGACTGTTACATCTTTCCCCCACAGAGCAGGTGGCTAATCAGAACTGTGTAGTTTTCAGTTAGCAGTGGAGTACTTACCCACAGCACCACCAGGGTTCCTTATCTGAGTGATTTGCTGTCGTTGTTAAATGCTGTTGGTTAGGTTCTGACTCATAGCAATCCTGTATAGAGTTTTCAAGGAGTAGCTGGTGAGTTTGAACCATTGACCTTATGGTTAGCAGTCCACTGCTTATCTTACAATACCACACTAAGATCTATCTGAGTGGTTGTTGTTGCTAACTTGTGGAGTGCTGTTAATAGCAATCCTGTATAAGCTTGAGGTAGCCGTCCCGTGCTTATTCTATAGCACCACACAAGGACTCCATCTGAGTGGAAGTGTGGTCTAAATCACTGTGGGTGCTTCTGGCCCTTCTAAATAATTGTAAGAAGTATGTGGTTTAATGATCATTTAATGATCATACTAGATCATGCTACGGAAATCTTTGGATTTCATGGATCTTTAGAAAGATCTTCAGAAAGATCCATGAAATCCAAAGATTTCTGTAGTATTATCCAATATGATCATTAAACATATAACCAGTTACCATTGAGTAGACCCCAGCTCATGGTGATCCCATGTGTGCGAGAGTAAAACACAGGGTTTTCAATAGCTGATTTTTCAGACTTAATCACCAGGCCTTTCTTCCAAGGCACCTCTGGGTGGATTCCAACTACCAACTTTTCAGTCACCAACTGAACTCGTTAACGGTACCACCCAGGGTCTCCAAAGAGATCATGAATGTCTTAAAAGAGGTTAATTTAAAAAGCATGAAAGAGGCTATATCTGTAATAGTTTAAGGCAGAAATTTTTTCCAATGGCAAAAATCTTTGGAATACTGACTAAAATCTGGAAGTTGCCAAGTAGGCTAGAATGTTTAGAGTTCTGTGTATCATTCTTTATACATACATTGATTTCTTGATTGGAATATCTCCTTAATACTCTAATAATTATAAATCATTGTGAGAAAGTAACGCATTCTTTCTTTGCAGAAAGACAAAGACATGTGAGGATGTGTGGCTATCAGTGTGGACACATTTATTTCTCTAACTGCATAATGATATATTGTTGTTAAGTGCCCTTGAGTCAGTTCCAACTTAAAGTGATCCTGTGTGGGGTTTGTGAGGCTGTAAATCTTTCCATCTTTCATCCTCAATGGTCTACTGTTGCTGTTAAGAACTGTCGAGTTGGTTCTGACTCATTGTGACCCTGTATAGGATTTCTGAGGAGCAGTTGGTGGGTTTGAAACACTGACATTGTGGTTAGTAGTCCAGTGCTTATCCTACCGTGCCACACTAGGACCCCCACTGGTGTGCTGTTGTTGTTAAGTTCTGTTGAGTCAGTTCTGACTCTTAGCAATCCTTTATAGGGTGATATTTTCAATAACCATGTGCGTGTGAAAG